TAGTCCCTCTATATATACATATGTATATGTAATGCAAGCATGCATATGTGTCTGTGTGTTTTGTACATATATATATATATATATATATATATATATATATATATATATATATATATATATATATATATGTATGTATGTATGTATGTATGTATGAAAAATAGAAAAACTAAAAAAAATTTCGTTATAATGTAGTGTATATATTATATTTTATTCTTATTGCTACACGGGTTTCCGGTCTCGTGACCTGCTTCAGGCAAATTTAAAGAATAAATTTTTAATGGAATAAATTTCCTTATGTTCTTTTAATGTTTCATTGTTTATTTTCTCTATTTATATTGAACCTTGATAGCATTTTTAGACTGTTGGCAAAAGTGAATTTCTGCCTAACTGGTAATAGAATCATTAGATTTGGTCGTAGCCGTGGTGAAGATAGATGAGTTGATGATAGAAGCCACCCTATTCCTACATCTCATGAAACTGTCAAATCTACTTTCATTTTTGTGTATCGTGTCTGCATGTCCCTGTTAGAATGTACATGAATCAGCATACACACATATATACATGTATATATATATATATATATATATATATATATATATATATATATATATATATATATATATAACACATAACATCCTTGAGCGCTTAAGCTTTGGAGGAGGTAGGATGGAGATCAACGTGTTTTAGTGGACTCGGCAATTTTCAATCAGCTTGCCTGCATCATCTTCAAGAAGCGAGAGCAAGATCTAAAAGGTCAACCAATCTAACAGTGATCTCATTTCACAATCCACACACTTGCTCCATATGTGGCCTCCTTTGTAAATCACTAGCGGGTCTTAAAGATTAGCGCATAAACTTTCATAACTGAATCAATAAGCTGGCAGATCCTCATACGTCGAAACCGACGTATTTTATTATATATATATATATATATATATATATATATATATATATATATATATATAATGTAACTATGTATATACACGTACGCACCCGCAAACAGTTATCCATGGCGAACAAAAATGTATATACATACACTGGTTAAGACAGATAGACTACTCACGGGCGCAGAGATGAACCTTACGCAAAACAGGAAGAATTGTATGTATGTGGGAGGGTATACGTGTGGGTGGTATGTGTGTAATAACCTTATCCGTGAATATGAAAGGATCCAACTGAAAACAAGTAGACAGAACATGTCTAAATTATTCAACGAAACAGGTTTCAATATATATATATATATATATATATATATATATATATATATATATATATATATATATGTATGCATATATATATACATATATGTCGTTTAATATAAAATAGCTGATTATTAATATGTAATTAAAATACATTTCTGTAAAATGTTATCTTTTAATCAGTCCTTGCTCCAATTCAGTCAATAACTTGTTTCCATTTGAACCGAATTAAATCTTTTTTGCGTTCTATATTTAATAGGTAAACTATCTTCAGAAATATGAATAAGGGCGCCGTGTAGAGTACTTCAGCTAAAAAAGCTCAGATTGTCTGAAAAATGAGATCTTGTTGCTGACAAAATACGCGAACATCGGATATTTTTAACCCTTCCAAATCCATCAAATTACTTAAAGCAAAGAGAATTAAATATCTGGGTAATGTTTCTCAGACAATGTAAAAAGCGAGACTAAAATCCGAAGGCGTATTGGGATAGTCAAAGCTAAGCAGAGCAACAAGAAATGGAAACAAGGAAAAGAGTACTAAACTGCTTTGTGATACCTGTCCTCCAATATCACAGAGAGTGATGGACGATCACCTCAAAGTTTAAGAAGACACTTGCAACAATAGAAATGTGTTTCAACGGCAGGATGCTGAGAATACCATGGGTCGAAAATGTGAGCAATTACAAAGTTTTAGAGAAAACGGCAACAAAAATTAAGTTCAGGTTTCCAGGACACATAGTGAGGAAAGAGGACTTGGAAAATCTAATACTCACAGGAGAGATTGAAGGCTAGAGAAAAAGAGGAAAATACTTAGTAAAATTGAGTAAACGGATGGAGGAACAGAGTTTAAATAACAGTATGACAAAATTCATTAAGAGGTCTAAGGAACAGAAAGTTATGAAGTGTTGTGATGCTCTTGGCCCTGACCTGAAACGTCACATGAAGAACAAAAAATGTTAAAGAGATTGATTTATTAGTAGATTATTATTTTTCTATTAAATTTAAATATCTTTAATCAGCGAAAGTTTCACACATATCTCTTGCGGTTTGTTGATATTGCCAAGCATATGAACCTCTATGGGTTATTTATTGCCGGAATCTAAATATTTTATATGCCTTCAATAAAAGACAAATAGGTATTGTTGGTTGGTTGATTTAGTTTAACGACATATCAACCTCTGTGGGTTATTTAATACCGGAATCTAAATATTTTGTATGTCTTCAACTATAGATAAATAGGTATTGTTAGTTGGTTGAGTTATTTAGCGGCATATCAACCTCTATGGTTTATTTACTACCGAAATCAAAATATTTTTATGCCTTCAACTAAAGAAAATAGGTATTGTCGGTTGGTTGATTTTGTCTAGCGACATATCGACCTCTATGGATTATTTAATGCCGAAAACTAAATATTTTCTATGTCTTCAACTACAGATAAAAAGGTATTGTTGGTTGATTGATTTTGTTTGGCGACATATCAACCTCTATGGGTTACTTAATGCCATAATCTAAATATATATGTCTTCAACTACCGATAAATATGTATTGTTGGTTGGTTGATGTTGTTTAGCGGCATATCAATCTGTATGGGTTATTTAATGCCGAAATCTAAATATTTTGTATGTCTTCCACTACAGAGAAATACGTATTGTTGGTTGATTGGTTTTGTTTATCGACGTATCAGGTATGGGTTATTCAATGCCGAAATTTAAATATTTTGTATGTCGTCAACTAAAGATAAAAAAGTATTATTGGTTGGTTGATTTTGTTTAGCGGCATATCAATCTCTATATGTTATTTAATGCCGAAATCTAAATATTTTGGATGTCTTCATCTGCAGATAAATAGGTATTCTTGTTTGTTTGATTTTGTTTCGCGGCATATCAACCTCTATGTGTCAAAATCCCTATGGGTTATTTAATGCCGGAATCTAAATATTTTCTATGTCTTCAACTACACATAAACAAGTATTGTTTATCTGTAGGTGAAGACATTTTGTTGATTTTGTTTAGCGGCATACCAACCTCTATTGGTTATTTCATGCCGTTAAACAAACAAATAAAAAAAATTATACAGTAGTGAATGCTGGACAACCTCCCGACTTATGAAGAAGACACTTGAGTCAAGAAAAATGGGGTTCTACAGAATGATACTGTGAATACCATGGATTGAACAATAGAGCAATTACAAAATTTTAGAGAAAATAGTAACTAAAATTTTTTAAAAGAATGGACTTATATTTAGATTCCGAAAGAGAATTTTGAAAATTTCAGGGCTCACAATAATGAGAGATGTTTTGGAAAATTTAACACGCACATGTTGAAGTCTAGAAAACAAGAGAATATCAAAGAAAATCAGAGATATAGCTTAGAACCATAAGCACCTGTTAATTGCTGTTGTCCCCAGATCCACTTTGACCAGGGTGTTAACAATTGTTAGGGTCCCAGCTATGGGAAAATTGTGAACCCTAATCTGGGGTCAACACATTATGAAAGTATAAAAATACATTTAGTTTGAAGAATACCAGCAAAATACATTTTATATCAAAAAATATACCAGCAAAATACATTTTATATTAAAGAATATACCAGCAATACATTTTATATTAAAGAATATACCAGCAATACATTTTATATTAAAGAATATACCAGCAATGCATTTTATATTAAAAAATATACCAGCAATACATTTTATATTAAAAAATATACCAGCAAAATACATTTTATATTAAAGAATATACCAGCAATACATTTTATATTAAAGAATATACAAGAAATACATTTTATATTAAAAAATATACCAGCAAAATACATTTTATATTAAAGTATATACCAGCAATACATTTTATATTAAAGAATATACCAGCAATACATTATTGGAAAAGAAGGGAACAAATATCAGTTATATATTTAAAAAAATATCAAAGTTCCCTCCAAAAGTAAATTTCGGTATTAAATGACCCATAAGGTGTTGATATGATGTAAACGAAACTAAACCAAACCGATATGACACAGAAAGTAGAAATTTATTGGAATTGCAAAATATTTAATCCAAAATCTAATCCAGGGTAGAGAATAAGGAAAGATGGTTTCGAAAATTTAACACACTCAGAACATGTTGAAGGCAAGAAAACACGAGTAAAGCAGAGAATAAGTTACGTAACGAGTCCGTGTATATAAGTTGGCAGAATACGGATAAGGAGAGATAGCAAAATGACTTACACTGCTAAGAAAATATAAAGTTGCGGACAGCCATAATCGCACACGTCTTAAAGGGATACTGCACAAAGAAGAAGAAGAAGTAGCCAGATTTGAGTAGATTTTCTCAGTTTGGAAGTATATGATAAAATGGCGGAATAAGTTTCGGCAACTACCCCAGGCTTCGCTAGCTAGGTTTGTGCTTCTAGCATCCGGGCCCCAGGCTTTTTTTCTTTTTCAATGCTCACAAGATTCTCTCTTTTATATTTTACGCATATTTTTATCTTAAAGATATTAGATATTTTGTGTTTGTTCTCTATTAGTTTTTTTTTTCTTTGTATCCCTCTCACAGTGATTTTTTTTTTCATTTGTGTTGGGTGCAAAATTACTACCAAGAAAACAGTGGCAATGTAAGGTTATGGAGGGTCGCATAATAAGTACCCCATTTTTTTCATTTTATTCTATGATTATTTTCTTATTCTTATCAACAATCTATTGTGAATATTTTTTTTGATAAATTGTTATTCTATTGCCAAACCAATTCAATTTTTAGAGACAGTTTTTATGCCATTTTCTTTGGCACAGTTCTTATTTTGAAAGTGGCTTACGGCCACATCACGCTGAAATACCGGTTATTGTAAGATCATCAAAGTTAAGCAACATCGAGCTTGGTCAGTACTTAGATGGGTGATCGATTGGGAATACCAGGTGCTCTAAGCTTGGATGTGCGATCAATGTAACAGATAATGGCTCGGAATTTTTAATAGGAGTTCCAATTCCAGTTGGTTTCGTTATGTTCACTTCCGCGTAAAGGGTAAAATTATGAATACACATACTTCTCCTCCAGACATGGGTTAATTATTATGAATTTTATAGGTAAATATTGTCTGCAAAAACAGTTCTTAGTATTTGTTGGCTTTAGATAAAGGGTGATAATCAATCTTCTGACCCTTATAGAGTTCGCGTTCTAGTGGTAATGATGATTCAAAATTGTGTGTTATGACTAGCTATTTTATTATTGTTGCCTAAAATATAAGAATTCATTATTTATCATTTATATCATTCAAATTTTATGTTCGAAAGGAGAAGTATTAAAAAAATGTTTAAATTTAAATGAAATTTAACATTAAACAAGACATCAAGGAAGATAACTCTCTTTTTTGTATAAAATACCATAGTTATTGCGATTAAATTAAACTAGTAGTCAGCATGTAAATATAATATAATAGTGTAAATATAAAGATAATAGGTCGGGATTATAGATTTATTGAGTTTGAAACCAAGACTTAAAGGTGAAATTATATGTACACACGTTATAAATTAATCGAGTACAGTAATATTGGATTCTATGTGTATATAGATATATAAGAAATGTTATTAAAGACGCGTTCTAAGAATATTAATAATTGTTTCATATTAAATTTATATTCATGAAATCGTTTTTGTAAGCTCTTTTAATTGGGATTAAATGTGTTTGAGTTCTATGGAGATATGTAGGGATCAATTCAGACCATGTGTTCAGCAGGTTAGGATTTATTTAAGTTCTGTAATATAATAAGCTACTCCAACAAACACGAGTTACATCTGTCTCCCTTTCAACTGAATGGCTTAGTTTTCGCAATTATCTCTCGGCTAATGGTTGGGTTCTTATACTTTGAAAGGGGTGTGCAGTTTTTGCATTAGATATTGCTCAATGTCATATCGTGGTGGTAAAAAGACGATTTTCAGCTATTCTCAGTGAATCCAAAGTAATATTTAACTGATCAAATTCCTTTTTTTGTCTGCCTGTCTGCCTCTATGTATGTCTCTCTCCCACTCTATCTCTGTCTTAGTTCCGATATATATATATATATATATATATATATATATATATATATATATATATATATATATATTTAACTCGTTTATTATATATATATATATATATATATATATATATATATATATATATATATATATATAGACACAGAGAGAGAGATGTGTGTGTGTGTGGTGTATGTGTTCTCAATAACTGTTACACAAGACGTTACTCTATACTATTTCGAACTTGCATCTTCCCAAAGAATCCCAAGATGGAGTCAAATGAATACTAATTACGGCTCATACGCTACATGGATTCTTGATAATAACCGCACTGATCAAAAGTACTTGAACAAAAAAATAACAAAATATGAACTTGGGACAGTTATCCAACTGGACTGCGCAGGATACTCAACACCTGATTTAAAAACTGGAAGAATATGAGAAATTAAACAGATAGACCTTGTCCATTCTTTTTAATCAAACATACTATATATATATATATATATATATATATATATATATATATATATATATATATATTCAGAACGCCTCATTTTGTACTAATGTTGGTTTAAAAGAGTCGAATGCACGTGATATATGATTGACCAATTATAACCAAACAACATAAAAGTAAATATACCAGACATTTTTTTTTGTTTTTCTTCATATCTCAGTCTCTGACGAATCTTTAAAAAAGTGAAACAAGTTAGATTGTTAAGCATTTCCAGTATGTTCGTTATGTTATTATAAATACACACGAAAACACACACGCGCGCGCACACACACATATATATATATATATATATATATATATATATATATATATATATATATTTATAAAAGTGTAAATATAAATATAAAAGTGAACATTGAAGTCAACACTCATAGGCAACAGGTCGTTTCACGCTAGACGCAATTGTCAGGCCGCCTAATATTTATATTTGTATAAGCTCTATCTCTGATACTGAGCACTTTATCCCATAAATATATCTCACCTTAAAACTATATTTCTTCATATATATATATATATATATATATATATATATATATATATATACATAGATAGATAGATAGATAGATAGATAGATAGATGGGCTAAAAATAAACGTATCTATATTGATTAATTCATATATATCGAAACGTTTTGTAAGCAAATTTATGTGGTCAATCCTGTACCGATCTTTTCGGAAATGCAGAAGCGTATTTTTTATTATCTAAGTATTAATGTTAAATATCAACTAAAAAAGTCGTGAAATTCAAGGAAGAGTTTTATGAAGGAGTGAAAAATGCATCACAAAATGTCGAATTCTCATTGGAATAACGAAATACACGTTTCAAATGTTAGGCATAGTATTAACAAACAAGACAATAATGTTAGCAAGAAAGAAAAAAGTCCTGGACTGTTATGCAATATTCATCTTTCTTTATGTCAAGGAATACAGAACAATCTCCTCACAGATAAAGAAGTAACTTGAAGCAACTTAACTAGCCAAAAACACTGACCCAAACATACAATAATATCCCTGACACCACAACAATACATTCTTATTTCATCCAGCATAATACTTCAAAATCTCCATGGAGTCCTAACTGGTCCCAATATGTACAATTTATTGTCTGTGAGAGGAGGGGAATATAAAAACAGCAATTTAATATCTAATCCCAATGTGTATTTAGTATATGAAAACAAAACTATTTACAAGAATCCTAACAAAATAATGTTAGTAATAAACCCTTCACAATCTTTAAATGCGACAGAAACAGCAGTTAACTCGACGAAATAAAGGCGGGATTCTAATAATATAAAACATTAATTCGAAACACTCACTCAAACACACACTCATTAAAACACAAGAAATACGAAAATCACAATCCAAAAAGAAATGTTGCCCCGCCTCCACCAGAGAACTCTGCTCACCTAAACGGGGGAGGAATGGGGGATTAAACTAAAGAAATAGAAAAAGGAGAAAGAAATAAAAGGAGCCAATGAGCATACATCCCAAAACGGAGACCGATATTTATTTGTAATTTATTTACAAAATGTGGCACAAGGCCAAAATAGGGAATGGGGGGGAAAAAGGACGGTTTTCTTAACGTTAAACTTAGATAGCGATTTTCCAAGCGTAGCTTAGATATGGCACAAGGCCGAATGTAAGGGCCACCCAGTGAGGATCGAACTCACGAGTAATTGTTCTAGTGAGACAAGCTTGCTAACCATTACACTGCCTGGAGGTGCCCACGTCAAACTTAGATAAGCCATAAACATCGACCCAAACATACAACAATATTTCTTACACCAAAACTATGCATTCTTACTTACTTTACTACATTCAATATAATACCTCCTTATCCCCGTTAAAGTCCTAACTAAACTCCATATGTACAATTCATTGCCTGTGTGGGAGGGGAATAAAGCGAAAAAAGCGAAGAGCTCATCCGAACAATTACCAGGAAAGTATTTATAGAAAAGTTACAAGGAAGCATATTACGTCGGTGGGAAAGTGAATGAAATCAAGATATGAGTTCAGGAGCAATAATATTGATGATCCTTCTTTGGATTTTATTAAGAATCTCTAAATGCATATCAAGAGCACAGGACCATATGTGGCAGCAATATTCAAAACATTCAAAGCATGGATGGATGAGATAGAGATAAAAATTGTCTAGTACGACACAGTGAACCAATTCTTTTAGTAGATGACTTAATAATGAATCTAATAAGGTCTTTTTACTTTATGTCAGTCCGAGAAGGCATAACGAGTCATTGTACTGGAGGATAGCATCAGCCATGTCGATAAAGGGAAGAAAGAAGTAATAATAAAATCACAGGACAAGTAAAAGGCAAGAGAAAAACAGAGGAAAGCAGTGGAAAACCTACCTAACAAAGCTTATATAAATGCTTAGCAGAACGATTATTAAGTTATATGTTTGACTGTTTTTATTTATTGTTAATTGGTTGATTTTTTTTAGCGGCATATAAAAACATCTATGGGTTATTTAATACCGAAATCTATATATTTTGTACGCAATTTTATTTTATTTTTGGAGATAATGATCGTTTAGTAATACACGTTATACTAATTAACCCATATACGGGGAGAAGAGGTAGATTTATACCTTTCGTAAGGGTATTTCAGCGTAAGGAAATATAACAAACCCAACTGGAATTGAAATTCGTTTTCCCAATTAACAATTCCGAGCCGTTATCCATTACACACCACCCACAAATCCAAGATTACAGCACCTGGTATTCCGAAGCGTTTACCAATTTAGATAGTAACTTGGATTGACGTTGCTTAAATTAGGTGACCCTACTCTGTTTGAACGTGATGTGGCCGTAAGACTTAGGGATTAAGTGAATTAAGAGAATGGAAAACAAACAAACATTGGTAAAAAAAGTAAGAAATTGTGGAGAGCCATAATCACCTACGTCGTAATGGGACTCTGCGCACGGAAGAAGAAGAAAAGCCAAAATATCATAAGGAAAGAAGGAAAAAAAATATTGTTAAGAGTAAAAAAAAAATTAACATGAAACAAATCCTTCTACATAATTTTATCTAAATTTTGGATATTCTCCAATGTAAAGCGGCTGATGTTCTGTGATAAAAACAATCATGATAAGGATGCTTATACGAATATTATATACCTATGAAAACATAATATCTTGAAACTCCAAACTGAAAAATTATCTGATCTTTCTTGTGTGCACACATGTTGCAATACAAAATATGTTCTCGGCTAGATTTGTAGGTTGTGAATATTTTCCGAGTTACTGTGGCATTCAATAAAAACACAGTCGACTTTATTATTATTTCAATGCTTGTTATCCGCAGACGCTGATATCTGAAGCTGGTAATTCTGCCAGGATAAACAAATGTTGTACTTAGATGTTTAGTTCACTGGTCCCCGTA